ATAGAGAGGCAAGAGGCAAGGAGGAGATTTGACCATCAAGCTCTTCTTTTCTTCCCTTTGTTTTTGCTATTTGTGATGAAATTGAACCTTATTGTGATGAACACTAGTATGAGTGGCTAAAACCCATTGTTCTAGGGTCATGGGTGAAACATGAATGTTGTTGTTTGAAGTTTAATTCGACAAAGTTGGTTTACCATATTGGGTTGTTTATTTAATTCTGCTTTTAATTATTTTGCTGAGTAGCTAACAATGAAATACTATCTACGAATCTTTAGTTGAACTCGAAAGTGGGAACTTTAGATTGCATATAGAATTAAATAGAGCAAGTTCTTGAAACCGGGCATCGGGGAACGGATTAGCAATTGGGATAGACATATACCCAATTGCCTTGCTTGGTTGAAATACAGGAATTGTAAATGCATTCTTGATAATCTTAATTCCATAGACATATAGGCATTGAGTTAATTTGAATAGGCGAGTAAGAACTCGACAGATTCTTATGAGCAATATTAACCCTGTCAATCAACAATCCAGATAAATCAATTAGTCGTTTTAAGCCAAGTACACAACACGATTGTTAGCTAGCCCGTGACCCTGGATTGTTATTCGAAATTGCTGGTTGGTTGGTTAATTGTTCTAGTTAAATTATTGCTTGATAGTTTGGGTAGTAAATTAGTTATATCTCTATTTTGTGAAAAACCTCTTGGATAGATACGTTAATTGAGTTTGAATCAGTCAACAGTTAATCACAAGTATTCGTGGGAACGATACTCTACTCACTACTTTATTACTTGACGATCACGTGCACTTGCGTGAGTGTTTTTGGTCGCAACAAGTTTAAGGGCAAGCTTATGGTACCAATTGCATTAGTAGAGATTTACATTAAGGGCAAGCTTATGGTACCAATTGCATGCATGTGACTTCTTTTGTGAGGGTGAGCGATTTTCTTTGATATATGTGAGCATGAGATTCAAATGTGTGGGTTGATTTTATTTTCTTTACTGTGATTGTGAGGGCATGTGATTCGTGAACGAAAAGCAAGTCTTGACTTCTGTGTAGAGTACTTTGAGGAAGTATGAATATTGCATGGCACGTGAGAGTCGACTTTTGAGGCTAGGATTGTTCGCTGCTAGGCGTAATGTATGTAAATTGTTCTGGGTGTAATGCGTTAAGGGAAATGGTTGATTGAAGGAACCTCTAAAAAGTATAGTGTGATTGCTCAAGGACTAGCAATGAATTAAGTGTGGGGTGTTGATAATAGGCTAAATCTAGGTAATTTGGCGATTGTTTATGCGCCCGCTTGATTATGTTCCAATGTCATAGTATGGTTAATTGATTAAAAATGGGCTCTACTTGTGAATTGTACATATTGCAGGACGAGGTGCCTATGTGATGCCTTAAAGAGGTGATTGGAACTATTTTAGAGCAAGAACGACGAGTATGCACGAAGACGAGGAAAAGAATCAAGGAATTAAAGATCTGGGCTAGCGCACCCAGATGCGCGATCGCGCTACTTCGAGCGCCCCCAACACAGAAAGTCAGCCAACTAGCGCGGCCAGATGCGCGCCCAGGTGCGCGACCGCGCTAGTCCAAGTTCCGGAAAGACTTGTTCAGGGGTATAATTGGAAATCTGGAGAAAATCCCACTTAACCTATATAAAGTCAAGCTCGCCCAAGGATTATTTTTCAAGGTTTTCATAGTCTAGTGCAAGAAATAGAGAGGCAAAAGGCAAGGAGGAGATTTGACCATCAAGCTCTTCTTTTCTTCCCTTTGTTTTTGCTATTTGTGATGAAATTGAACCTTATTGTGATGAACACTAGTATGAGTGGCTAAAACCCATTGTTCTAGGGTCATGGGTGAAACATGAATGTTGTTGTTTGAAGTTTAATTCGACAAAGTTGGTTTACCATATTGGGTTGTTTATTTAATTCTGCTTTTAATTATTTTGCTGAGTAGCTAACAATGAAATACTATCTACGAATCTTTAGTTGAACTCGAAAGTGGGAACTTTAGATTGCATATAGAATTAAATAGAGCAAGTTCTTGAAACCGGGCATCGGGGAACGGATTAGCAATTGGGATAGACATATACCCAATTGCCTTGCTTGGTTGAAATACAGGAATTGTAAATGCATTCTTGATAATCTTAATTCCATAGACATATAGGCATTGAGTTAATTTGAATAGGCGAGTAAGAACTCGACAGATTCTTATGAGCAATATTAATCCTGTCAATCAACAATCCAGATAAATCAATTAGTCGTTTTAAGCCAAGTACACAACACGATTGTCAGCTAGCCCGTGACCCTGAATTGTTATTCGAAATTGCTGGTTGGTTGGTTAATTGTTTAAGTTAAATTATTGCTTGATAGTTTAGGTAGTAAATTAGTTATATCTCTATTTTGTGAAAAACCTCTTGGATAGATACGTTAATTGAGTTTGAATCAGTCAACAGTTAATCACAAGTATTCGTGGGAACGATACTCTACTCACTACTTGACGATCACGTGCACTTGCGTGAGTGTTTTTGATCGCACCACAACTTATCCACATGAATTGTACACCACATCGAAAATGAAAAGAAAATTTGAGATAAAAAAGGTCTTATTAGCGGGCAGAAGCAGCAAACATACAACATTGTTTATGATTACAAATATGGTAATTAGAGACACTTAAAAAAAACACTGCGAAACACGCAGATTACAACACTTACACATACCTCTACACAATTACACACCCCCTAAAACATGTCCACCAAATTGAAGCCTTAGCATGTAAGAGTACCATCTGCACAAAATTCGGGTTTACACATTTATACCAACATATGTAGGGTACAAGAGCAGTAGTCTCCCTTACGCTCATTTGCTTCATACAGGGGTGTAAAATTTTACTACTTCACCAGTTGCTTCATCAGTGCGATTGCAGAAGATGAATTACGAACGTTTTTCTTTGCTGGTTTCTTTCCTTCTGCTTTTGGTCCAGTTTGTCTCACCTTTACTCCCCGTATCAACTGATGCATCATTCAACAATGTTTATTCAATTAACGAGAAGATTAAATTACATCTAATGTGACTAATGAAACTGATGGATTTGAAGATAAATGTGGACGTACATATTTGCCACACTTGGTGTCTGCGTATAGTACGATGAAATCTCCTTCTTGAAGTCCATTAGTTCGAACAAAATCTCCTGAAGAATGGTAAGTCATACATTTTTAACGAGTTTAAATTCTATGCATAGACGTGTCACTTGAGTATAAAGTAATTAAGATAAATTTCTATAAGCATTATCATTGATAGCACGATAAAAATTGGACTTCATTAATAATTCAAAAATCTTCATATTGTCGGCCTATATATCTTTTAAATTCATTTATAATAAATCTCTCTTAGTAAGATGTTAGCAGGATCAGTAAAGAATGTGTTCTTACCTGTGTTCTCCAGAAGGTACATCCTGCTTTTGTTATTTGGCCAAAATCTAAAACCCAAACAGAAAAAGGGTAAAGTTAGAAACTGAGTGGAGCAATGTCCCCAAATATTTACTTGACTAAAGACAACTCTTATAAAATTGAGTCTACACACCTATACTTCATGTTCCAAACACGAGAAGTTCCAATATCTTCCATAGCAATTGAAATTCCATCTCTTGATTCAAGTTCTGGGAGGTGCGATTCTGCTTCTTTCTGTTTATTAACATTAACATAATTTAGAATTCCCTTGATCGTATTACATAAGAACCTGAAACGAATATCGATCAAAATTCATGACGACAAAAATAAATTACCTTTGGTAGCACAATTCTTCCAAGATTGCCAACATCGCTCTGCTTCAGCACTTTTTGTAATAGGAACTTCAGGTTCTTCTCCGTTTTCCAATTCTATTTAGAGAACCACCACATAAAATTTAGTGTTGAGCACATACATAGATCATCTTTATGTCAAACAGTAACACATAAAAACCAAGAGGAAAGAGTTTAATTTATATACTTCCGAAGTATAGATTGTCACATAGGTCACCAAACAATCAATAAAAAGGAAAGACTAATAATCAGGAAAATAAAAGAAAATACCCCGTCAAACGATCATATACAAAAGCCATTCGGAAAATGATTTAGTCTATATAAATGAAACATGTAAAGAATTTTTACACTATATTTCTAGATACTAGTTCAACTCATTAATGTAGTTATTTTCTAGGGACCTGATAGTAACATTGTAGTGTATAGAAATTAAATGTGGTGAAACAAAGAAACGAACCTGTGATTGTGATCGCTTGTCTGCAGAAGCATGCTTTTGATGGTTCTGAGGTTGCATCCCGGGCCTCTCGGTCATAGGATGTGGCTGTGGTGCCTCAGGTGGTGGAACCATAATCATTGGTGACGAAGCAGCAGAAGGCCAATATACCCAATTCCCAGGATTATTAGCTGGAGACATTGTACAATTCTCTCCAACTATCCTCAAACTTTGGTCACTACTTTGGCTCTGATGCTGAGTTTGATGGCTGTGGTGGCGATAATGGTGTGACGGTAATCGCCTTTGCCGAGCCATTCTCTTTTTCCTAGCCTCTTTAGTAGCAGATGAGCCCAACTTCGCCAATCTCTCGCCATTCCCATCGTAAAGTTGGTAAGAATATTGACTGAACAAACCCTGAGGATTAGCCTGAGTGGCGAGGTTACTTTCATTTTCAGGAAATGGATTGTATTGAGAAGCTGCCATCGCGGAGAATTGCGATGGAGGCCACGATTGAGCAGATTCCATGGTCTGATACTCCATATTTGTAAATGAAGGTACATTAGAGTAAGAATCCCCTGTGTACCCCGGCGCCATAGGAGTCGGGTAAAAGGGATCGGGGCCAGGGATATAAGGAGAGGGAGTTGGCATCCATGGCGAAGGATAGAAGCAAGCATTCGGATCAGATGCAACAGCGTTATTATACTGGAAACTGGAGTTCGGGTTAGGGTTCGAATCATGAAGCTGAGACTCTTGATATTGACAAGGAGAATCAGAGGCTGCTGCTTTCTTTTGCAGTTGGTATTGTTCAACCCATTCAAGTATGAGTCTCAAGAGCTGTTTCTTCCCTTCTTTTGTGCCGCCCAAGCGTTTCGAAGCACTTTCTATAGTGGAACGCTTGAGCTTAATACTCCTCATATCTTCTGCAGAGATGTAGTCTTTGTTTTGCTTCAGCCACTCGAAGAAGATAACAGCTAGCTCACTGTTACCTGTGAAAAAACTCAGCCCATCATTTTGATCATCGTCACCTTCTTCTTCGATCTGCTGCGGTTTGCTTTCTTGATTCTGCTGATGATCTTGTGAGAGTTGGAATGACTGATCTGACATGTTGTAATCTTGTGGATTTTGATTATCACTTTGGAAAAGTGTACAAGGATCCCAAAATTCATTTCCGTCGATAAGATCCATGTATCCAAGATCTTCCATCACGTTTAAGCAATCGACATCATCTTCTGGCGGAAGGAGACTTAATTCCATTGAAGTGGTTGAAGACAAAGCTGGTGGTTGGATATTCTTGTGGACATCTTCTTCTGCGTCAGATTTAAGAATTGCCCATGAAGCAGAATTAGAAGAAGAAGTCGAAGAGGATGAAGAAGAAGTAGGAAAAGGCTTAGAAAGAGCAGTAGGGGCTGAACAAGTTGATGAAGAAGAAGACATGCATGGGAAATCAGGGAGAGGGAGGAAGTCGGTGGAAAAAATGGAAGTATTATTCACATCAAGATGATGATGATGTGAATGACTACCATCTCCATCAAGAAAAATCTCAGTGTCACCAACAATAGATCCAAGTACTTGTTCTTCCTCCATAGGTACAAATTCAGTAGTCTGCTGGTGGCTTTGAATATCATCCATAGCAACCATAACATTCTCTAATCCATCCTCCAAATCTTGCTTACCATGATACTCTAATCCTCTTTTCATCTTTGTTTCTTGATTTTTACAGCTTGAAGGTAGCAATAACAAGAAAAACCTCTCCTTTCGTTATATACGAAGTAAAGTGAAAATGAAGAAGAGGGTTTGAGAAAAAAAGAGAAGTTTAGAGAGAGAGAGAAAGAGAGAGAATGGGCAGAGATACTCTGCGTACGGATAAGGAAGTGAGTAGCTTTTGTAACTGATTAAGGAAGCAAGCTAGGTTTAGAGGAAGCAAAAGGGACCCTTTCTTTCTCTCTTTCCCCCACACCACCTTATATCAAATATATGCAACATAAACCATCTGCTGTTAGGGCATCTTTCTTAAATAAAAATACTCACTAATAACAAATCTAGTCTAGTGAAAGCGACTCTTCCTGGTTCTTGATTATTCAATACAGTACACTCTAATTAAATACTGTATAAAACAATTTAAGTACTAAAATACCTATAAAAGGATGCAATTAATTGGTAAGACTACTCTAAATACGAACAGGAAAGTGGAGAGTGGAAGTAGAATTCCGGCAAAACCAAATAAGTCATGAACTTGTGAACATAGAACAACTCCTTTTTTCTTTTTCTTTTTTCTACAGGACAAACATTTGTATCTGTATTAGTGCGAAAAGCACTCACCAAAAAACAAACTAAGATCGTCAGAATTCACAAATAAAAACAACCCACCACGGCTTATTATCGCTACTAACTCTTGTGGACGGTTCTGGGAAGTTCTCATAAGAGTTTGCTACTTTTGTTGCAGATAAGTTCAAATGGTTTTTGTTTTTTTTGGGTGGTTTAATTTTGTAGTTAAGTAAGAGAGAGAAACTTAGAAATAAAGAGAGAGAAACTGATAAGGGTGGTTTTGAAAAGTTTTTTAAAAAAAAAGAAGAGAAGAAACCACCAAAACAAAACCTTGTGCCGCTTGTTTCTACACTTATTCCCGTATTCTCCGCCATATGACATACGTTGTCACCTGAATGGTGCTACCCAGCGGTGCTCTTCAGTTCACACTTTTGTGAGGGGAAAAAACAAAACACTAACGTTACTCCACCATTGATGACACAGGCAGCTCAATTCTATTTCAAAAGACAAGTAAAAAGACATAACAATTAATATACGTAAATTTGGCCTAACAATTAATAAAGTGGGAAAAAAACATAACAATATACGTATAATTTGTCCTAATAATTAATAAAGTGGGTAAAAATTATTAAAAAACTAAATTTTTTAATTTTGGCACAGGAAAAAAACGATACTTAATTAATTTATTTTAAATGTATGATATATAAAATTACATATGATAACACTTATAACAATAACAAGAAGGTAACAGGTACACGATAAAGTGAAATAAGCAAAGGACGATAGGTCATCACTATTGACAAAAAAAACGTAACAAAATGCGCTGAAAAATATTAAAGCATGAAGGATTGGACCGACTGGTGAGAGGGGTAATGGTAGTGGGAAGAGTTTTCTTTTGTTTGGTCACAAGGCTTGTCTCCATTCGTAGGTGAAACGGCGGAGTTCTTCATTTGCTGCAACGTGTCTCTACCTTTTTCTCACACACATGCTAAAATTAACAAAATGTACAAAAACACGCATAATACAACCACCCTTTTTTCACTCTACCAATAGAAAATCAGGGCAGTGTCATGAGCAAAACTCAAAGCCTGAATGAAATAACCAAAATTCCTCAAAGGGATAGAGCTAAAGTCTGATAATTGCATCAAAGGAGAAAGACGAGTAGTAGGGTGACACGAGAGAAGGTTTTTGTGCCAATTTTTTTAAATGAAATGGTTCCATGCAGAAAGGAAGAAAAGTCTATTGGCTGTTGGTTTTTGTGCATGCGTGTTCAATGTGGTCATTTCGCCTGTTCCGGTGCCTCGTTCACGTGAATTTGGGGCCACGAGGGGCTTCCCACCCAATTAGATTCTGCCATCTCATCATTATAACGTCTTCCATTATTTCCCTCTCTTCATTTCCAATGTCAAATTAAAACCGCTGACCGATAAAAGGCATATTTAAAAGGTACACTTCGCGGAAAATTAATCTCTACAATTTCGTTCAGACAATTTTCTTTCGCCTAAAAACTCATATTCTTTCTTTTCATGAGTCTATTTTTTTAGAATACAACTATTTATAATAAAAATTCTTTACCCCTTTAAATGGATAACAATTAAATTTATACGCAATTTAAAGAATATGTGATTTAATTTAACATAAATAATCAAAGAACAGTAAATAGTTGAATTGAAATAAGATGGAATCAAACCAAAGTGTCGCAGTAATTAAGTTGTGCGTTTAACTTAAAATTTTTAACATAGAAATTTGTGAAAAATTGGGATTTTATTGAAGAACCTAGGGTTTAGTAAAAATGGGATTTAACCACGATATTAGTTATGGAATTGAGTTAAGTTATATATTTGAGTTCGTAATACCATGGGTAACATTTATCTTCGAAAATTTCTGAAATCTGGGCATGTGAGCCCAGAGTTGACTTTTGTGGACTTTCCGAGTTAGCTTGGAAAATTACTCTAATAGTTAATTATAAACTTTTGAGCATATATTTATTGATTTATACGTGATTTGATTAGTTTCGGGTTGCTCGGCATTGTTTTGAGGTGACTAATGAGGTTTGAGAGCCGAGTAGAGGGCTTCGAAGCGAGGTAAGTCTCTTGCCTAATCTTGTAAGAGGGAAATTATCCTCGTAGGCATTCTAATTGTCGTGTGCTTTTTGTTGAGGGTGCTACGTACGTACGAGGTGACGAGAGTCTCTTTACCTTGAGTTTTGGCGGGATACTTGACTGTCGGTAAAAATCATGTTTTTTGTATATTCCTATCCTTATGTTGTGTTTATGTGACCCGTAGTCCTAAAAGTTCTTCTATTCTTGTGGATTGGGACATATGCTTCGAAGTGCAATGAAATAGCATTGTGGATCGGGTCATACGACCTCGATAGTATATTTGAGATGCATCTATAGATCGGGTCACACGACCTCGACAATGTACACTATTATTATGGATCGGGCCGTATGACCTCAGTGAAATTCGTGCGTAATATTCGATAGGTGTCAGAATTAACACGGGGTTTTCTTCTTGACTTGAGACTTGATATCTACTTGATTTTCCTTGTTCATTTGAGATAGTATATAGTACTTGAGGATTTCACATTATTACTACGTTGGGGGAATCATGTTAGTTACGTGTCATGATCCCGGTTCGCCCTCCGTGAACCATCGTGACGACACCTAGTCTCTACGACTAGGTAAGCCTAAAATACGAAAAATAAACCAATTTGCGGAAGAAACAATTTAAAACAGAGATAGAGTAGTAAAACAACGTTTAAAAGTGCCGCTCGGCATACACAACGTTAACTCTAAAAAACTAATACATATTCCCAAAACCCGAAAACCCATGAATCACAAGCTAAGAATACTACATAGTTTCTAACTCCAGAATGTCTAAACAAAGTAAATACAGAAGGGCTGTAACTACAAGAGAGAATAGGGAGAGACTCTTCGGTCTGCGGACGCGGCAGATATACCTCGAAGTCTCCGAAAGATCGCCTCGCCTCAAGGATGGTAAGTCTGAGTAGAGGTACCTGGATCTGCACATGAAAAACATCCGTAGGAAGGGCATGAGTACACCACAGCGGTACTCAGTAAGTGCCAAGCCTAACCTCGGTCGGGTAGTGACGAGGAAGGTCAGGGCCCTACTGAGATTAAATATAATATAAGTTCGACAGTGTAAAACAGAGCAATATAAATGAGTGCAGCAGTAAGGGCAACACAGGATGTAAAGAAACAGAAAACAAGTGATCACGGTAAACAAATACAGTTCAACGCAAAAATAACAACCCGGCGATCTCCTAGGATACCGTCCTGTAGTCCCCAAATATAATATCCGGTGGATCTCCTGGGTGCAGTCCCGTAGTCCAACTCATAAACGTTCAAGGGGATCTCCCGGAATACAAGTCCGTAGTCCCAAATAAAAATACTCAGTACCGGGGAATCTACCGGGTGCAATCCCGTAGTTCCAATGTAAAAAAGCAGGGGGATCTCCCGGTATACCAATCCGTAGTCTCAAAGTAAACATACAGGGGAGCTCCGGGATACCGTCCCGTAGTCCCAAAATAAATACACAGCAGTAACAAGACACCCAATCAATCAATTTCACACCAAGGTAAAGCAGGTATTTCTAACCTAGCAAGCTGCACATAATTCAATTAGGACAGTAGATCAAATAAGTAGTTAAATCAATTAGACATGCTTTCCTAAGCTAATAACAAGCTTAACTTAAAAGTAATGTAAATAGGAAAGAAAAACAACAAATTCTAAGTTCTTAATGGAAAAAGGATTTTTCAACAATTAGCACAAGTATGCACTCGTCACCTTACGTACAAGGCATTTCAATTAACAAATATGCCAATCCTAAAGGGAAGGTCCCCCACACAAGGTTAGGCAAGCTACTTACCTCGAATCAGCTCAATAATCAACCCGAAACCACGTTCTTGCCACGAGTATTCGACTCCAAATGGCCCAAATCTATTCAATTCAATTGCATAATGTAAATAATACTTCAAGTAACTGATTCTACAAATAAACTCTAAGCTAATACGCGAAATTAGGTAAAATGACCAAAATGCCCCTCGGGCCCACGTCTCGGATTCTGAAATTTCTCGAAGATAAATTCTACGGCCATAGCTTTACTAACTCAAATATACAATTTGCTCCAATTTTCATGCTCAAATTCAAGGTAAAAGTCCAAAATTTCAAATTCTAGGTCTTCCCCCAAAATCCCAAATTTATACTAATTTTCCATGTCTAAATCCATGTAAGATCACATATTTAACTTAAAAATAGGAAGAAATCACTTACCTAGTGTTGCTTGGTGAAAATCCCTCCTTGAGATCTCCAAAATCGTCCAAGCCAAATGAAAGAAATGAAAGAAATAGGCCAAAACTCGTGTTTAAAACAATCTGCCCAGGCTTCATCGAGTTGTACCTTGCGCTGTGCAGGTTGTACATCCTATTACAATTTTCCCCTGCTGTACATCTTCTGTTAAAACGCCCATAACTCCTTGTGGAAATATCCAAATGACAAACAGATTGAAGATTTAGAAACTAGACTCGAAGATCTTTCATTTGATAGGTTGCACACCATATAACTCTTTATATATATTCCGCGATATGAGCTTCTAAAGTCGGCTCCATGCATCAGAAAATTTTGTCGAAACTGCTCCATTAGCCATCTTCAATCGATCATAACTTTCTCATGAAATGTCCAAATCATGAATGGTTTAACTTTATGGAAACTAGAATGCAAGGGCACAACTTTTATGTTTTGTAAATTTTCAGATTCCTTATAGATTTCGAGATATAAGCTTCCAGATTCAGCTTCGCGATTGCACTAGTTGCTGTCAAAACAACTTTCTGCAGAAAATTTCAGCAACTCTTTGGTCCGAAATTCATTCCGTTAACCTTCCGAAATCCACCCGAAGCCCTCGGGACCTTAACCAATTATACCAACATGTCCCAAAACATGATACGAACTCGCTCGAGGCCTCAAATCACATCAAAAAACGTCGAAATCATGAATCGTACTCCAATCCAAACTTTATGAACTTTGAAATTTCAAACTTCTACATTCGATGCCGAAACCCGTCAAATCACGTTCGATTGACCTCAAATTTTGCACACAAGTCATATTCGACATTACGGACCTGCTACAACTTTCAGAATTCGAATCCGACCCCGATATCAAAAAGTCAAACTCTCGGTCAAACTTCTCAAAAACCTTAAAATATC